TATCCACTTAGCTAGTGATCAATCTCTACAAAAGCTAATATTTTATTTCTGGATGGGTTTAATTGAAGGGCAAATGTGCCCATCCTGCTCTGGATCTACAGAGGTACACAGTAGAATGATAAATCTGACTTCAAACACCAGTCTCACCAATTTCACTGCATTTGCATAAGCAAAGTATTAAGCCCTCGGTGACGGGCCATACTGATTAGATTCTCATCAGTTCCCAACATTGATTATGAGTAATCCGCATGAGAGAGTTTCTTGGTCAATATGACAGGAGGCTAGGAGCCATTTTGTGCTGCCCAAGTCTTTCACAAATGCATTATTTTTTCAAAGAGTGACACGTAAAAAGAATGGAAAAAAGCCTGAGGCCAAGAGCCTTGTTGTCTCATGCCGGAGGGCATGAGAAGGCAGGAATATAATGGGTGGGAAAATGTAACTAAAAGCAACTTTGTGTTTTGTATTCAAAAGCAGAAGGCTAGAGCAGACCCACATGCACCCTGGATGGCCTTTGGAAGCAAGAATTATCTATTACACTGTGCTGTCTTGCCACAGCCAAAACTCAAGCTCATCTCTGAGCAGCAAACTAAAATTCTTGCCAGACACTGCTGTCACACTGCTGTTCCGGTGAGCAAAGCATTTGCATAGCTCAAAAAGATGATTTGTACTAGCTGCTGACATTAGCACAGCTCTCACATAAGGAGCAAATACAGGCCATGAGATGCAGTGGAAACCATTGCTGTCACCTACAAAGGTGTTGGCAATGGAGCACTTCCTAGTGCTCATTTATCCTGCTCCCAATTCATCACTAACAGAGAAAGCTGGGAGCTCACCATCATAAAACCTGGTGTGATGACCAGGGCAGTCTAAGCAGCAGAAGGAACATGGTCAGCCCGTTTTACATCCAAAGCATGGTGTAAAGTGTTAGGGAGTATATTTTGTTTAAGATTATGTACCTCTGCTAACTAGGTATGTTCAGAAATCTAGGTAGAATTAAGCCATAAATGTAGGCGTGAAGGCTTAAATTGTGAAAAATCCTGAAGCAGCTACCTCCCAAGGCCAGGCTAGAAGAAGGTGTAAGACAGACATGTCTTTAAGGAATCCAGCTCCCAGCAGTGAAGTTAATTCAGGAGTTTGACCACACACAAAGTCCATGAAGCTGGTACTAAGTAATATGACCCACTGAGTGCAGAGAGCAAAGAGCTCTCCCAGCACTGTGTGCCCACATGAGGATCTGCACCAGGAGGATCAGCAGAGGCTCCAGGATACCCACAGATAATATTTATATAAATAGTGAATTAACTCCATGCTGTCCATACTGGGCCATAAGATATGGACAGTTCAGGAAGATATTGGTAAAACCATTTAGGAATGGTGCATAGCAGGGGAACTAGATGAGTGTGTAGGTCAGTTTGCCTGTACTCAGCTGCCTGGATGGCAGTGGTGAAGCTCTGCAAGGCCATGACTGCAGTGGCAAACATGCCTACCAGTGGTGAACATTGTTAACTTCTTGAAAATGTAGCTGTGTTGAGAAAACACAGTTTCCAAACTGAACTGGGGTCACTAGTAGTATCTGTGCACAATGTCAGTTCCATATGCATATTTTGGAGATGATCCATGAATGGATATTTTGAAGGCATGGCATTTATTTTTACTGGGAAAAAAAATAAAAAGACTTGTTTCCTTCCAGACTTCTGAAAAAAACATTGGGGGGCTGCTATTTCAAGTGGTCTCCTGGATTTCTGAGCACTAGACAAGGTCTCTCAGAAATACAGATCAGAAAAGCAGCTTGACATAAATGGAGCAGCTGCAGGAGGGCACAGACGACCATCAACATTTTATGTGTTTGTCTGCACTTCAAAGACTGTGGATGGCAAGTGAGGTTAAAGAGAAATAGGTGCATTAGTCCATATCCCTAGTTAGGTTACCAAAGCTATGCTGAGAAGAATGAAATTATATCCTTGGCAGGTGAGAGCGGTTAGGTCTTTCTGAGGAAAAATCAAAGGGTAGCCTATTAAAATAATAATCAAGCAGAAGCATTCATTGCTCTACACTCAAAGAGAGTGATATACTGAAAGGGCCTGAAGGAAATGCAAATGACAGTCAAACTCAACTAAAAACATTAAGCAAATTATTTACACTTCTATTTATAGATAGACCAGGTAGAAAAATTGCTGAGGTTTGCTCCTAAGTTACAGAAAACCCTTTTTACTCAGTTCCTGAGCTTTGCTGTGAGAGCTGAAGAGCCAGATTGGTGCTTCTGGAATCTGTCCAAGCCTTGGGTCTGGTAGAGCTGACATTGAGGCTTGAGACAGAGCGGGGCTGCTTTCCAAAAAACACTCAAGAGACAAGGTCACTACCTTGAGTCTTGAATAAATTTCAAAGAACAATGTAACAAAAACGTGCCCCCTCTGTCAGAAATAAAAAAAAATCATATAGCTGAAATAGTTTTTAGGCTCTTTATCTTTTCTGAGTTTCCGAATGCTGCCTGTTTTGGAGGCAAGAGCTAATCTGCAGTCAGCAACAGCACATGGGAAATCCAGGCAGTGTTGGGATAAATGCCATGGGATGGCAGGGGAGTGTGAGCTCCTCCAGTACCAAACTGTTCGCAGAGGTCTTGACGGGAAAGCATTTAGAGAAGGCTCACGTGCTTGGCCGCCGTGGTGGGACCCTGCATCTTTATTCAGTTATTTCGTGCTTGGTATCTGCGTTAGTGGCCGCCTCGTGGGGGGCAGCGCGGCCTGCGGGGTGTCAGAGCTGGGGCTCCCGTGAAGGCAACGTGCTCCGTTTCCCTTCTCCCTCGGCGCGGGGAGCGGGAGCCCCGTGGGGCAGCGGTGCCCCCTTCGCGCTGGGCTCTGTGCGGGCGGGATGCCCCGTGGGGCAGCGGTGCCCCCTCCGCGCTGGGCTCTGTGCGGGCGGGATGCCCCATGGGGCAGCGGTGCCCCCTTCGCGCCGGGCTCTGTGCGGGCGGGATGCCCCAT